CGAAAACCCTTGTTCATTTTCCAACCGTTGCGTCGCTAGGCGTGGATTGGCCAACGGCAAGTGCTTGAATCTTCTCTGAGTCCACCTCTATCCCCTAGGTTTATGATCAATCATCCTAATATACCCCTGGAAGGTGTCCGACGGATTATACCATGACTTCAGGTATGCTCTGACCGTGTCCGCAGAATCGAGGGTTACTTGGAGCAACCTTAAGAGTATGAATGGTAGAGAGGTGAGGCCGCCTTCTGAATGTGCTTTGCAAAAGGCCCTGCCCAGGCTACACTGTGACACCATTAAGGGTGATTTTCTTCTCTGAATTATGGGGATGGGACCCACCTTCGCCAAAGAGACACTGACCAATCGATAGAGAACAGTGAGGACAAGGCAGAGGCCAATGTTGGATATTTCACTAAAGCATCTGTCCACGAACCTTCTATGCACACTAATTCAACAGTAGAAGCATTGACATCTGACAGGATAAACCCTGTGGACATCGACTACAATGGTGTATTTGAGATATTGGGTGTTCTGGAGGTAGAACACTCAACGGGATCGGGTGACCCGCACTTAGGGCTGGTCAGCAAGCTGGCACTTTATGTAGCTGGCTCATCGACCACTTCATTCAGAATGTCCATCAACGAGGACATACACACAAGACTGAAAGGACGTCAAAGCCACACCCATCTAGAAGGCAAATTAGAGACCGCTAGGGTTGGCCAACACAGTGGTAAGAGTCCTCAAAAAAGCAATCACCACGCTTTATGCTGAGATCAGCACTGTGCGGTCTCCTTCGTAGCATAGCTCCCACAGACGTTCCTCTTGCTCGATCAACCCCCTCACAGTCAAAGAGCGTTTGGTTAAACCTAAGGATGGCAGAACACTTGTAGACGTTATTTTTGTTGGTTTTGGCCATGCACTCGACTAGGTACGTCATTCCAGGTTGTTCATGAAGCCAGAAAAGTTGTAATCGCCGGCAATCCACCCTCCTGGAAAAGACAGTTCCTTATTGGCAGGAAGGAGAAAGTAGTGACCAATTTTAAACCTTCCCTTCGAACGTCGGTATGGAGTAGGGTGCCGCAAGGCAAAGTAATGAGTCCCCTGCTGCTTCTTCGCAGAAATGAACTGCGAATGCCATGAAATCACGTGTTCTTCCCCACGCCGAAGATCCATAAATATGGCGAGAGATTTAGGATGACACTTCAGACACGCCTAAACAGCTCGTCAACATGACCAGGGAGGTATTTGACACATGACAATGCAGATGAGCCTGCAGGCGCAGGAGACATACAGATGGCAACACCTGCGACATTGGTGGGACCACTCTACTCCTATTACCAACCCACGATGACCTAGGGATCATAATGGGTCACGATCGAAAGATCACAGGTCACTACCGATTGACTGAGTCCCGGAGTTTGAGTAAGCTGGGCCCTCTATAGCAGTTCTACAAAAATAAGTGGCGATGTGTTCGCCACTCCATAACCATTCCCAGCTCAGCCTAAACCAGAAGACTGTACACATTTGGCAAATCCTTGTCTAAGCGATGACTCGAACCACCCGAAAGGTTCCCTATACGATTTCCGCGATGACTGGCCCAGCCTACAAGGCTGGAGCTAAAGGGCTGAACGTTTTCTCGCTGTCCCAACGCGGACGGTGGGGAGATCAAATCATGTGATACAGAATTCAAGGAAATGACTTCTGGAAGGATATTTCTTCTGCTTCTCCTCCGATACGCCGGAACACCTGGAACAACGTGGCAGAAGAATATGAAAGCAAAGGCGAAAGTAGTCTTCGTCGAGTACTCGTTCGCTTGTGCAGCAACTAAATCCAAGGACCGTCCTCGAAAAACAAGTGGTGTCCACGTCATCAGTTAACTTATTCCCAGAGGGACTAGACAAGTACACATATTGATGTACATCCGGGTACATCCAGCTGACTAGTCCCAGACGGGACGAAATGCGCATCCTGGATTCCACTGCTAGCCATGATCCATAATTAACATGAGTACAGATATCTGCTGGAAAGGGAATGATATAGCCTCATATTCTTCCGCCTCCAAGCGACAAATCCGAAGCTAAAGGAGGAAGGCTTGCTTGTCCAATAAGGACTGGAGGCCAGAATCCGATGCAGCAGCAAACCGACCATCGCAAAAGTTCCGGTACCGCACTAAGACCAGAATGTGGCTTCTTGACATGTCTCTACAGTGATGTAAGGGGCATTAGAAGTAAGCCGCTGGGGCTAGATAAATGTGCCGTCAGCCGTAAGAAGACACAATCCTTTGAGCAGAAACGCTACTTTCATCATACATCTCGGACCGGGGAGTGTCTCCACCTACCATGACCTGGTTCGAAAGGCCGGGCAGTTCAGATAAGGAAAGAGAGTGGGGAGAAATGTTAGCAAGCCCTTGAAAGGCTGAGCCAGTCCCCAGACACCTTGTGATGGTATTTCACCACAAACCAAATAAAATGTCTACTTGAAGTGGCACACAGTTCACCACTATGCACAGCAGAGTATGAGGAGCAAATGCTCACTGCGACTTCGGTATCCACCTTGGCATTCCGTGTCCATGTGGGACTTCAGTACGCCGGCGCTTAGCTCGAGATATGAAGCAAGCTGTAGACATAAATCTTTTGAAGAGACTCTGAAACACATTTATGGAAGCAGGACTAATGAAGAAAGCTGGGAAATACACCCGTTGGAGACCAGGCGGGGAGGGATTGTGACTTCATTACGTTCCAACAGACAGTGGTCCTTTGGTAGACAATACCTGTCTTCATCTCAACCCTAAGACACAAGGGATCATTCCTTGGTGAGATTTGCCTTGGTAACCGAGGCGAAACTACCAAGGGTTGAACTGGAAGCGATCCACTGTTACTTGAAGGCAGGCTACCAGGTCATGAACAAGGAACTCTTGAATGGTCCATGGTTAAACGATTGTCACTCACTATAGACAGATGAACACTGGGTACAGCGACGTTCCGAAACTAACCAGGCGACCACCACCACATGCGCAACCCGAAGGCAAGTACAGAGGAAAAAGAAGGCAAGGTATTGGTGGCACACATCACGCAAGTAATCGCACTTTATTAAGTGCGGGAAGCTACGCAACTCGTGTGTCTTGAGCATCCATGAAGGTGGGTAAAAATAGTAAAGTGGCATGGTGAAACAGCCGAAGAGCGGTTTGGAAGGCCTATAGCGGTTTGCTTCACAATGAAAACCAACGAGTAGAGGGTTTAAGTTTAATCGCTGGACCAAGTGGGGAACCCTTGAACGACAGTGAGATAACGGAACTATCGAGCAGCCGATCTGACGAGCAACTCAACACAGCGGTACATCCATCACTAACACGGGGCAATCTAGCAAAGTTTTAGGATCGCGACGGAAGGTTGACTAACGCAAAGATTTTGCGAAACAAGGTGTTTACAAAACTTTTAACACTCATGATAAAAAATCTGCAGGTTGTGACGATACAGGACCAGTGGCGCCGAGGAAATATGAGGAAGTCCTAAGCATACTCATATGCAATCTGTTCATGCGCATGCTGGAAGTAAGCTAGCTCCTGGAGAATGGTAGCGCTTTACCCCTTCACCAATCTTCAAGAGAGGAGACCGAGAAAACTCGTACAGATACAGACCAGTAGCGTTGCTTTATATACTGCCGAAGGTACTGGAAAGCCTAGTTGCAGATGCCGTTTGTGACTAACTGAGTGGAAACAACATAGTTTATCACACCCGACGGAGATTCAAAACCGGATGGTGGTATACCAGAGATGACCAACTGAGATGGCTGGACCATTGGACGGGACAACAAGAAACTAGGATGCGTTTTTTTTACGGACTTGTTCAAAGCTCTCGATGGTGTCCCGTACCACACCATGCTAGCTAAGCTGGCAAAAACTAGGTATCACTGGCCCACTTGAGACGTGGTTTGAAGCACGTGCAGACGACCAAATTCTGTGCTAAAGTTTGCAGGATTAGATTGGTTTGTGACAATCCAAGAACAGGAGTCCCTCGAAGAGCTACCCTAGAAACATCCCTATTTTAACTAGCCGCTGATGACTTTCCCACCCAAATCTCCTAATTTATCCTCGTATTTGCCGACGATATCAAAATATGGAGAGTAGCAGGTTGGTAAGAGCATCCCACCATACTCCGAGGCTATTTGCCGCAGGTGGATTCTCGGTTATCCGCAAATGGTTATTCTTTAGCTTGGAGAAATGAAACGTGATCTATCTTCGAACACCAGAAGCGAAGGAAACCAGCGACACCAGCAGGCGAGTTATCACCAGGGTGGCCACAGAGGACGGCCTCAGACCAGTATTCTATGAAACTTTGGGCACCAGTGCCAACTATAGGGAAATGGCAGCAAAAGTAAACGCCGTCATGCCTTCTATAAGAGGACAGTTTGTAGTGCCAACCCAAGAATAGTTTTTCATGGTACACGGATCCATACCTGGAGGCATTCGACACGATGGCCCCTCCCCTATCAAAGAGAGATGCGAGCGCCCTGGTGAAGGTACAGAGAAGGGAACAAAGTCAACAGTCGAACCAACGTAGACAAAGCATGTGTCCAACGCCTCACGCAACTCAACTTGTTCACACCAAGCCATGGAAGGAAAAAAAGCGACCTAAAAACAGGCTAAGAGTTCATTGATCAGGTGGACCATCCAAATAGGCCGAACTTATCGGCCTGAGAGTGATGGTCTCACGGGAACCCCAACCCCATATCCTACTGCAGGGAAAAGGTGTGAGTGAAATCTTACTTCTCACGTAAAGTGTATGTCTTACAAAACGCACTATAGGTAAAATATAGCCACAGTTACATCAGACGATCCTTTAGGAATGGTCCTTTGGTGGATTCGACAGACGAAGAGGCCAATCACCAATTATTTTCACTTATTTTATGCCCACGGTCCGACCAACTGTCTGCTGGAACAACACTTGAGGAACCCATCTGCATCACAGTCCTTGAAATTACCATACACTCCCCACAAATTCAACCAGCACCCAATCGCCCCTCTGGCTAACCAGAGCTAAAGCAGTTTGGTGGATAGACCTACCTCATCGAAGGCCACCAAAAACCCGCAACCGTCCCGCAAGGCCTAGAAGTGAGAGAGAAGAAACCAATTGATTTATATTGGATATTGGATTTGGTATTGAAGATGACAATGCTAATGTGATAATTCAAATACGTGGCTACATGCGTTAATGCTTTTAGGTGTAAGACTGGTTGCAGTCAGGAACTTTTGTGGAGCATTACCTTCTGTGATAGAAAAAATGAGCAAAAGAGAAAGATGGAATGCGGAAAAGACTGCTTTGAAAAAGCGCAGACAGGAGAAAAAACGGTCTGTAGAAGATTTTGATCATTATGAGAATTCAAGCATCAGTGACTACTACATAGATGGAATTTTCAAAAAGGTTTATTTAAAATCTATTTCTGTGTACTGACAGGTCTTCCCATATCACTTTGTGTTCAAAGCGTACACAAAAAACAGATGGATTGGTCGTAAGCTTTATGATGTCCTGCAGTCTGAGTTTCGTTATGTCTCAAATGAAGAAATCGTAAGGATACATTCACTGAGTGAAATAGTTCTCAGGCTAGGCGGTGCGAGTTCGGTGACATTCTTATTAATGATGCGAAAGTTGATCCTGACTATGTAATGAACGATAGTGACCTCCTTTCCCAGAGAGTCCATCGCCATGAATGCCCTGTTTTGAGTATGCTTTTGTCTTTCCCACCATTCATATTTCTAGACTTACCCATAGAATTTCTGCACAACTCGGAAAATGTGTTGGTAATCAACAAACCACCTTCAATACCGATCCATCCTTGTGGTCAGTACACTTTAAACAGTATTACACATATCCTGGCCAAAGAATATGGTCTTCGTCCTCTGCGATTTACCCATCGACTTGACAGGTCCGTTTCTAGTTTTATCTGTCTTGTGGGTGTACTTGTGGAATGGTACTGCTGTTTTCGCTATTTGACAGTAAATCAAAATAACCCGTACCTTGGATACGTGTGTCATGGTAAACATAGAACAACTGTTGTTCTGGGAAACGATTCTGTTTCATCATAGAAATAGTTTTTGTAGATACTGAGGTGTACAATCCATCAGACAGCATTATTCGACCTTTCGTAACTGCTAGCTATCGTAATCATTGGAATGCGACAAGAAATTTAAAAGCTAAAGTAATGTCGTCTAAAGAAAAATAGGCGAAATTATAAAGTGTGACAACGTTTAAGATTAGGGTGAGTGCATTCGCACCATTATAGTCTACTGTGAACCATATCATCGTGATTCTTGAACGGGCGATTTAAATTTTTGTGTGGACCCATACTTCGAAGTCTAAATTCCTCTTTACTGCTCGGATCGCAGGCCTTTTGGTAGCATCACAAACCCTTGCTGAATACCAATAATCTGTTACGAGGAATCTTTACCCAGATGAGTTGCACTGATTAACTAAGTCTCCTCAATTTTGTATCGAAGTTTCTCACATGTGAACTCTTAGTTTTATTGAGACCGAACAGTTTTTGATGAAGCATTGTTGATACTATTCAAGCTGCAGTCAGTCGAAGGACTTGCTATATGAGTATATTTCCATATCCACAGTTTCTTTTCAGTTCCTAATGTATCATTCAAGTAGGCAACACATGCAACTGTTGGGTATTTTAGAAACAGCTCACTTATAACCCAGACTTAGTCTTGACTAGTAATATGGTTAGCACAGAGTGAAGGATATTGAGTACTTTAATATGCGATTTGGAGTGGGATTTTGAGGAGTCGGGCATGCAATTTGGTTAGTTCTTATCATATGTACAGGCTGAAAAGATTAATATTTGAAGGTAACAGACTTTCACAAAAATGTAAGGAAACCAAACGACGACTGAGTAAAAGGTTGATAGTGGTCAGAAAAACTGAGTATTGGTGTGTAGATGGGCGGGACTTCTTCAGATGCCTGAATAAGCAATGAGATTTGTGTGACTTGCTTTGCTAACCTGGAAGTGTGACCTATAGACTCGAAAGGGCAGTCGAATGTGACAAAACCTATTCGGTCTGGATTGAAATGCTCTATCTCTGATTTAAAAGACAGACTATCAGCTATGGATTTCCGTTGAGCAGTAGCGGATCAGAAAGTCATTTTCAAGATTGCGGTACTTGTTTATTACATATCTACTATATGGACACTTACCTTGTGATCATAGCATTCCAAAGATATTCATTTGGAAAACGTACAACAGTTTCATGTTTTCATTTTCTACTTTCTGGTGATCATTTATATTGCTTCCTAGTAAAGACAGAACTCTCACGTGTCGGCGAAAATGCCAGCATATGTAGTACTTCAGAGTTACACCATTATTCAAACTAATATTATGTAGAGAAATAAAGTCTAGAAGTTGATCATATAATTCCACTAAACGATAACCTATTTGCCCCGATTTCATCCTATCTCTTGGCATCTTTTCTTGTATAGTCTTAACGTTTTATCTTGTACATATTTTTGCGAGGCAGTTATACCTTTATTTACTCTAAAATCGGTGTTTTACGGTCTACCAGTGTTTTGTACTTGCCACACATATATGATTTTAATTTTCTGTTTTTTATCTTGTATCAGAATGACTTCAGGATTACTTCTGATTGCCAAGACCTATGATACATCTGTTCGCCTGCATTCACAGATTGCTAATAAAGAGGTAACGAAGGTATGTATTTACTGTCAGTTGGTATTGTTACTAGAACATTTGTTTCAGTATTTGGTTTCAGACTAGGTTCTTCATTGCTTACCTAACAGTTGTGGTGTATGTACGTCTGGTTATCAAATAGTTGTAAGATTCCTGATATCTACCTTGTTAGTTATTTCTACATTTCTCAGGCAACAGTTGTCTTTTTATAGTGTTCAGTTGAGTTTTCATGAGTATCAAAAATGTAATACTCATCAAAACTCTTTACTCGAACTCACGCAGCTATGTAAATCCTTATGGCGAGTTTTCATCTTAAGTCGAGAAATCTAAATTAAGATGCTGTCAGCAGCTTTGTGCACATCCCTGCAGTAAGCAGTGAGCCAAACCTATAGTGTGATAGCTGATGTTGCTACCTGGCTGCCCAAACCTCGGTGGGTGGAGTGACACTCGAACCTATGGTCATTGGTTGGAAGCCATCTACCCACACAAGTGAGCCAGCTGATCTGTCCACCAGCAATACCCAATTACCGTTCCTGTTTATCTACATCACAGAGATGTTGGTAAACATAACCTCAGATACCTCTGACTTTACACGGAGTATGCGTAGCATGGTCTTTGTACTTGTCTAATGTAAGATAATAGTTAGGACTGGTCTGCATCAAATCCTAATCTAACGACGGAGTAAAATGGTGACATTCACTGACCACTCGACAGAAAACCAACGTTAAACTTCGCACAGAAGTGCATAAGTTCAAGTTGTCACACTTCACAGTAGCATGAAAGGAGCTAGTGGACAGAAATCGACTGATATCAAATTAGACAAAAGCGTATGGGAGGAAAAACGATTTAAATATGCACGTTAGTGAGAATATTCAAGCTTCAAAAGACGTGAAAGAGTGAGTACACCTACACCATGGTGATCGACCTATAGTTATATTTGCAAGGTTCTCCTGCCATAGACTCTTATGGTCTCAGAGACCATAGTCAGCTAGTCTATACCTCTATAGAAGGCTCCGAACAATAGTCAGAGGATTCATGGACTCGTGCCGCGTATTGGTATGACCATCCTGAACCTTCGACTAATATAATCTAACTTCTACTACCACTGCAAGTCGAGATGGGCAGTGGCTCAGCACGCGAAACACATGTCCAGGTTCACAACCTCATCGATCAACTCGCCTGTCTTACCTAGTACCGTTTGCATAGCCTCTGTAATACTCAACTGGTGACTTCACCTCACGTGAGAAATCTGTAATCTCTTCAAATTTTCTACCTTCAGTGACCGTCTAAATGGGACAGAGTGGACTGCAGCGCAGTATACTCATCCTTTAATAAGTAGTCGAATATTTCCCCAGTCGGTGCCAGAGATGAAATAGGTTGGCGAATAATAAACAGGCCCTCTCCATCCGAACTGAGATCTCGTCAGGGATCAGCCAGTTTGTAGATTTCTTAATTTTAATCTTAATTTTTTTAATCAGCCAGTTTGATCTGATGCAACTTCTCAAATAAGTAAGGTGATTGACACATTCCACCACTTCACTATCTATCCTTAGACTGAGAGACCAGTCCTGAAGCATCATTTTACATTTGACAGATCTGAAACGCGTGCCAGCCAAACATGCTCAGATTTTTGTTCAACGCGTTCAGAAGACCCTGAATTTAACGAATGTGGTCACCTAGCAGGACAGTGGCGTCTGCATACTCCAAACCAACTAAATGACCTCCAGGGAAGTGGATCAACTGCAGTGAAGTCAGACGTACATAGGGTTATGTCTATTATTGCTACTGTAACGAAGTTAAACAGCAACGGTGACAGTGTGAATCCTCAGCTGACAACACTAGTTGTCATCAATTCTTATGATAACTCTCCACAAGCCCTTACACCGCTTTGTTAGTTTGAGTAGAAAGCTTTCATTATCGTTATGTACCTTCTTGGTAATCTCTTCACAGTCAAACACCGCCACATCATCTAACGGTTGATAGAGTCGAACGGCACGTTCAGGACAAGAAATATGCCAAGTATCAGCCACTGGTAAGTATGCCTGTGTTTCAGAGGGTAAAAATCTGGTCGATGCATCCTCGTCCATGTCCGAAGCCTGACTGGTTTTTGCGAGGTTGCTGTTCTCGAGCTCTACCTAGGCACTAGATAACTATAGACCTTATTAATTTGGACACGATTTTAATCAGACTGATTCCATTGTGGTTACCCCAAAAAGACTTCTCTCCATTCTCATGAACTACTGAAGTAGATCGGTCTCGGACGACGCCAGCTTTAATTTCGATGTATTCACTACTACACCCGTTACACTACTCAATAATCTACCCCCTTCCTTGAAAAGTTTGCCTGGCAAACCGTGAGGTCCTGGAGCTTTGGGTCTGCAGAGGTGAGAAACAGCCTTCTCAACTTCAAGGAGAGTTTGGCGTTTGACATCTACTTCCAATTCACGTTTGGGCTGGATGCTGATGAATTGAAGCATTTCTGTGAACCAGTTGAACTGTGTTTCACAGTCTTCTGTTCAACGTTCTAGCCATCTCTCCCAAAAGGTTATCAGCTTCGTATTCGTTCAGGTTGTGGTTTCACTTACCATCGTTTTCTTGCTGATATCCTTGATAAGCCCATATAGTTACCGAGTTCTATCCATTGCTGATGTCTTCTCCATCCCTCTTGCTCTCACCACCCATCACTGCTCCTTGTCATTGCCAAGACTTCGTCAATTTACTTCCAAGCTGCCTTTTGATCTTTATTGTGGTCAGGGCCAGCTGAAATGAGTCTTTTCGCAACAACCAGTTCTAATGACTTTGCAGAATTTCATTGACGTTTGTTAATTTTGGGACGTACCATTGTTTCTACGGTAGACTAAAAGTCACTTCAGGTTTCCTCAGGATGTATTTGCCTGAATGTGATTTATTTGGGAAGAGGATAAGGGTAATCAAATGAAGACGCGGTCCTAGTTTAAAAATCCTTTGACTGTTAGTCCGAGGTGCAAACCAGCCGTTTGGGGTCCTACAGAGCATTGGAATCACTGGTTGAGGACTCGATAAGTTAGCTCAAAATCAGTTACAGTGGTGCAGATCCTATACACGTTATCGTCCTGAATACCTTGAACATTTTTCGCCAACCTTCATTCACTTCATCTTTCCTTATAAAGTTTGTCCACTTTAATATCAGATTTTCATGCACTTGTTTGCACACTTGCTTGTGAAGTGTGGCAACTTAAACCGATGCATTTCTGTACTAGGTTATCTGTTAATTTGTTGGTTTAATAGCTGTAAATCTTATCACTGCTTAATGTTAAACTGTATGAGGATTACAGCAGGGCCAAAATATTGAGGGATTTCGGCTGATTAAAACCTGAAGCAATGTGTCTAATCATAGGTGAAAATGACATTATACGTTGTGATGGGAATATTTGCTAATGTAGATTAACTTACTAACTCAATGCATTTGAGTTAGTACCAATAACAAAACTCAAACGAAGTGGTGATCAAGACAACTGATCACTTAATTTTTGCAGATTTCATATTAGCTTATTTATTTGAAACATGCGACGCACTTAGCTGCCTTCTGCACATTTTTGCAGTAGATGATGAGCCACACCTAATGTGTGAGATTTATTAATACTACCTGATTGCCCGAACCTCGGTAGGGTGGCATATGGCTCAAACTCGTGACTCACTGGTTGGCAGTCATCTTCCTAAACCATTGAGCCACAGCACACAGTGGTGCAGTTTTTACTGGATGACGCTCTGAGCAGAATTTATTATTTATGATCATATCAGATTAGTTAGTTTTATAGTCTAACAGTTCATCCTTTTATTTTGGTGGTAACAACCATTGCAATATATTTGGAACATGTGATGAATCATTCCTTTACACGTGTTTGGTGCTGACCTACTGAACAAAAGTTTCATAGTCAATCTTTCCCTCCTAGCTTCATTGGATTTTAGAACTGTCATCCTATCCATCCTTTAGTGTGATTATGGGTCAGTGCATGCAGAGCGATATCCGAATTTTCCTATGAATTACTTATCGTGGCAAAGTCTATCATTATATTTTCCTTTAAATTTCTGTGCCTCCCTGTCCTCACTAACCACGACCGCCTACGTTTACCCATATCACTTAACCTCACAATCATTAAATGGTTTTTCATAGATTAGGTTATCCTACTTAACCAAATCTGCTGGTTCTTTTAGTTTAAAAGGTTTTTCTGAATGAGTTTGGGTTTAAATACTACCCTGAACTCTGCATTGTTGGAATCCTGCGTAAACTTTCCTATATTCTTTCTTTATCTGACAGCGCTACAAAATATTTGAATGTCTTCTTGGGCATGTTACAATTACCACTAATATTGTCCTTCTTCTGTTTTTTGTGAGTCCTTATAAACTTCTTAGTAAACTCTAGAGTATCATCATTGAGTAGTAATGTCTCTTCAGTGTGCTTGAGTTCCTTTATTTAGATTTTCTGACTTAGCAGTCAGACACCTAGCTCAATCATTTCATTATTTTATCAAACACATCTTGGCAGATATAGAGGGGAACGATGTCAAATCCAAGTATCTATTTGTATGGCGGTTTTCCAACCCACCTTACGGTAGCGACATGTAGATGACGCACTTACTGTATTGAAACCAGGACATATCCTGCGCTTTTGCACACCAATTTAATGGTATGTGCAATCTGATCGATTCAGTTATGAATTAAAAAAATTAGAATACAGAATGACATGTCGCATTGCAAAATCAAGAGAAGAAAAGATGGCAGTTAAGATCCCAGTGTTTACAAGAAGCCATCGCACAGGGATTTCTCAGTGTTTAAGTCTCACTCTTAAACTATGTTTCCCAAAACTACTTCAGGATAATTTGGTATGGGTGTAGCTGTCAGTAGTATGGAATTATTCGTAGTGGTGTATAATGATTGATTGATCCTTCATTATCTAGTAACTTCTAGATTACACTTCCATCGGTTAAATGGGATCTTTTGGACTTGTCTGCTACGAAAGTTTTGTTTCATCAGACAAGAGTGGAATTCGTCCGATGTTGTATATGAAAAAACTCTACTCAGCAACTTAAGTCGCTGGTGCGTTTAAAGTAGTAGCTTTTGGGAGACGTTATTTTTTTTGACATACTTGGGTTTTCGTATATTTAATAAAATGAATCAGTATTTCTCCTGGCTTGTGACCACTTACTACTATACTTTCGTGTCAGGACGTCGATGTTTCTGTCCAATGGTCACGGGCACTTAGTCATTATTGAGTAGCTCGATATCCACCTTGAAGTTAAGTAGTTCACTCAAATCTATGTGATCTGCTTACTTTAAATATCTACGTAGCACTCTGTCAATAGGATTATCTGCCCTAACCATCGTTCGGCAGTTGATGAATGCAATCCTATATAATGTCCCCAGTTTTGCCGCATCTGTAAATATTCTTTCCCTTACCAACTCACCAAAGATTAACATAATTTTACTTATTCTGTCCATAAGTGTATTTAACACGATTTTATTTACAGTCAGGAAACTATCTTAGACTTTTCCTGTCACTTTTCCTAGATCTTTGTAGACACTCTAGCTATCCAACACTTGCCAGTCTCTAAAAATACACCACCATTCCGTCCTTTAGTTTAATCAATCTCCCCCTACTGGTAAGAATGATACTGATTATGAACTCGATTGACGAGTTATAAGCTGGTAAATTAGGCACAGAAAATAAGCCTGGTACTAGTAAGTTACTACCTCAATTCAATATCGATGCACTACCAAGTTTAAACTGTCAGGTAAATTTCTTCGCCTTGTCAGACGTCGCCCCATTCTGAATGATACAGTGACTGCATGTTCTGTGAAGCACTACGCAGTTATTTATCTGACTAGTAACTTTGTAATACTGATTGCAGCTAACATTCAGAGTTGTGTTAAATGTCCGTATTAACAACTTAATATGCTTTTTGTTTTGCGTCACGGACTTAAGGTACCACTCGGTTAGCACTTCTGATTAATTTCAAAGTAAGACTAAAAGGAGATTCGATAATCCGTGGTTCATAATGTTTCTGTAGCTCAATTATCCTTTCAACATGCGATCTGGCATTTATGCATAGCGAACCAAGGTACCACACCCTACATCAGTACATCTAAATACAAAGGAGAGATGGAAGTCAAAAAATGAAAATACTGTATGAAAGGTTATGGAGTGGCATAAGGCAAAAAGGAATTGATTCAAGCAAATAAAAAAACATAGTGTAACAATTAAGTCGATAGAAAGGCATAAGTGCGTCTGCTCAAATATAATTCACTTTAAGTTATATCAACAAAAATTCCCATCAGTCGATTTCGGTTATCGTGTGAACCTCAACCAGAAATTTGCATAACCTTACATTAGTCGGAGCAGTTGGGACACGACTGGACAACTCACTCGGTAGCCCCAATTATTATGAGTTTAGGGTACCATCAATGTGGAAACCAATCAGTTCTTCATAACGCACTTATTTGACGTAGATGTTTCAGTAACCATGTCCTAATACCAGTCATTTGATTTGCTTTTATCCTATAGTATTATATATGTCATGTGGAAGGATGTTTTCCTACTGAAACAAGGCCAGACGATTGCTGCGTTGATTTTGAAGTAAGTGATGGAGTAGTGATTTGTGATAAACCCGTTGGTCCGATCAGCCGTAAAATGGGGATCCACGCTGTCTTGTCAGAATCGGCTGGTGGTAAATCTGCTCGTACGCATTTCATGCGCTTAAGCTACAACCCTGTCACAAATACAAGTTTAGTCATCTGTCGATTGTTCACTGGACGTACTCATCAGATTCGAATTCACGTGCAGTACTTGGGTAAGTTTCCATGTAACCTAAATGCGTACGACTCCCCTGTTGTTGTTTATAATCTTACATAGGATTGCATGTCCGCAAAGATCGGTCCTGATCACAAATTGCTGTCAACTGAACAGTTTCGCTGGAGAGTGTTAATTTTATTCGTTTCAATTTAGAACTTCCTTACAACTTGTGCTGTCAGAGAACACCTATAGGATTCTTACTGATCATCCTAGTTTCAGCAGTAACATTTTAAGAGATACCTTTTTGCATAGCGTGAACTTCCTCTGATTTTGATGGGGATTGTTGGCGTCGCATTGTTTTCTGGGCTTCTTCATCACACATCTGAACATGTGACATGTAGTTAGGGTCTTCAGCTGAAGCGTTGGGAATCATGTACACATATTTAAGGGTGTGGCAGTTTGTGCAATACACTATGTCTCCTGTTGATTGCCTGTATCATACAGAATTGTTATGAGAACAACCTTAAAATTCATCAGGATATCTTACATGCTTACAATAAATTTGCAGAATTTTTCCTGAGTTCTTTACTCGTGTTGATGATTGATGTTGACTATTTTTTAAATAATACTACAGCTAAAATTACTCTTGCATGAATAACCAATTTGTATTCCTCATGCTTTTAACACTTTACGATATCGGTGATTTCTAAAATTCTCGAATGTTCCATAAACGTGACGAATGACTATATGCAGCTAGTCACTCATTATCTTTATGCGACCTTTAAAATCTGTCATGTTTTGTAATCATGCTAGTTTGTTCCATGCAAGCTGGAAGATAGAGTAAAGTATTTGAGAGTCAATTAATCATTAGCCCTCACTCAGTGAGTGTGGCTGGTGTATGGACTCGCACGTGGTTGCTGGAAAGCACACATTATCCGTTTGGAAGCAGGATTAGTAACTATTATGGCAATCATTTAAAGAAGGGAGTACAGTCAGATCAACTTAAGACTGTTGCAACTATTGATGGAAGCGGACATGATTTGTAAGGTGATGATAAGAATGATTTGTGAGATACTGGCTCCAACAAAAACATGAATGTATAATCGAATTTAGACTGGAAGTTGGTATGAAGAATATTTATAAGAGGTTTAGGACAGAGTAGTCAAAACGTTCACAAGGCAGTACTAAATAACCTTGGATCACCCTCCTGCTTTAAGATTGCTTTTTTCTCAAGATGCAACGACTCACCACAATTATTTTGGGTATACGTAACCAGGTATCCAAGTAAAACACTAATTTCAAAGTCATAAAATGCGTAAAATTCATTGTATTTTGTTGCTGTCTCCTTTGGCTCATATTGATTAACTTTCTTCACAATTAAGATCCGTAAATTACTGCAGAAGTGTGCACGTTTTGTGTACGAAAATCGAAGTGTTGCATGTTCAGCCTGTCGGTAGAAGTCGGAGTGATAACTCTACAGCTATCGTGGCGATAATAAGTACGTGTGCCAGTAAGAAGAACTAGTTTTTGTGATCAGACCCATTCCAGCTGGCTATGACCGCAATAAAGATCAAAGGCAACTTAGAAGTAAATTGACAAAGAATCTTGGCAATCACAAGGAACAGTGATGGGTGGTGAGAGCAAGAGGGATGCAGAAGGTATCAGTGTTGGGTAACACCTGGCGTTTATGTAGGCTTCTTAAAACAAGATGAAGGCAGTGGTGAATGAGACAACCGCGCGATTCTAGGTGCAAGAAATAAGGACAAATTGTCTGATTCTGTTCTGATTCACTTAAATGTATTTTTGTCAGTTCAACTGTTCTTGTGGAGCCTGTTACGTTGGGCGTACAATGGGGCAGGTCCGTCGTCGAATTTCTGAACACCACCCACCATGATCGAGCAAGGGGCAAATGGGAACAATAAAGAGCTCCGTATTTGCACACTTAGTTGACAGTGAACATCAAGTGGGTACTGGAAAAGCATTCAAAATTATTCGTCACATACTAATGAATTTACCATATGGATTACGCATTCGCGTACTCCAATTGATAAAGGCGATTGCAATCCACCTTTACAAACTTAACCTTTGTATTCAAAAGAAGTTTCTTCGACCACTTTAACAACATAGTGTACAACATAGTGTAACTCAGCATTACTTTTTACACCTTCCTCCCCCTTGTTGCTATCAATATTCATTTACCTCCCTATTCTTACGCAATTGTTTATGACGGACTACTCGCCAGAAAGCATTTTATTTACTCTACTTGTTACTATACAGTTTGCTTAAGAATAACCAGTTTCATATATTATGATTACTATTCTTAATTACTCTACTCACTATTTGCATCTTAATTTCTCAAACTTCATCTTCATCACTTACAATCCATAATTATTGTTTTCAAGGAAGGAGGTAGGATTTTATTGAGTAGTGTAACGTCATATGTCTCAAAAACAGAGCACACATCTATGGTCCGAGTTGCTAGAGTTTTGGTCAATGAAGCCTGTTGGCCAAGCGTACTGAAAGTGAGGATATTGAAGGTTCCAGTGTGTAACTTGGAGGGTGGTTCAAAGAAAATAGACCAGTGATGCTGCTCTGTGGACTCAGATAATTGTTGAAAGCTGCAGAGCGAGGTGGAATTAAAGTGGATATAAGATTGTTAACCACCCTCGCCTCGGACGCCCAACTCATCGTTTCCCCTTCGGATTCCACTCAAGTACCTGTCCTGGTGCGTGATGTCTCCAATCGGCCCTCTCAGAATATGCTCAGTCCATCTCCACTTTCTTCTGCTTATTTGTTCGGCGATACCTTCTTGGTTGGTCCGTTCCCAACCAGAGTTCCTTATCGCTTATTCTTTCTGGCCATCTGAGCTTCAGCATCCAGCATAGGCAGCAGCTGTTGATGAATGTCTGTAGTTTGTTGGAAATGCTTTTCGTAACGCGCCATTTCTGAACCATATAGAAGCACTAACTTGACTTTGGTGCTGAAAATCCGCATCTTGTTCTCTATGCTGAGTGCAGTAGATCTCCACACTGTTTTCCGAATATTGAAGGCTTGTCTTGATGTCTTTCCGATCCTGGCTTTCACATCCTCATCTGTGCCGCCACCTGTAGTTGAAATGATGCTGCCCTGCCTAGGTAGGTGAAAGAGACTACTCCCTTTAGGTATCTCCCGTTAATAGAGTTTGGCGCTTGTTGTTGGTTGGGTATCTTCATCACCTCTGTCTTCTCTACATTCGCTTGAAGTCCCGTCTTCCACCAACTTGTTGGTTTTTGCCTGTAGATCTTTGAGTTTGTGTAACATTAGACATAAATCATCTGCGAAAGCCAAATCTTCTAGGGTCTCTTCCTCAATCTAGCGTATGTTCATCTTCTCGCTCCTCACGGTTTGCTGCATGATCCAGTCGACCACAATCAGGAAGATCATCGGTGATAGTAGGCAGCCTTGTCTTACTCCTGTCTTCACTTCACTTCAAACGCGTCACTTAGCTTTCCACTGTGAATCACTTGGCATGTGGCGTCTTCATAAAGCTGTTGAATGAGGTTCATAAACGTTTGTGGCACTAAAACCATAGTGTTGAAGCAGCTGCCAAATTACTTCACGGTTGACACTGTCGAAGGCCTTTTCAAAATCGATGAAGTTGAGGTAAAGAGTTGACCGCCATTCTATGCTCAGTTCTATGATTCTCTCCCCACAAACAATTATTTAAAGTTATTTCAGTGAGTCAACATAAAAATATGACCTGGAATTTGAGCCTAGTTTTGATGTTTTCATGGTATCTTGTGGAGCTGTGGCACCTTGGTCTATATTCTGTATTTCCTTCCAGTAGACTGTGGTTTCGAATCCCACCTCACTTACTGAGATGTGGACAGCTAGGCCTCATACACTAGGTATGGCTGAGTGTCTACTGGACAAACTTGTAAGTGGTCGTCGAATAAATTTTGACCTTTTTGATATCACAACCATTTTGTGCTCTGTGTGAATTATCCAGTCTTTGAAACGTTTTTGCTTAGATTCTTTGCAAATACACTAACCATCTAAATGTCTTATAAACTTATCCCGTCTATAGTATCGATGCAACGCATGCCCACCCATCGGTGGTGTCGTGTGCAGTTAGTTATGTCAAGCACCTGATTATATTGTGTGACTGAGACATGGATTTCATTCCCAGATTTTGGCATAATTTTGTACTCTGTTACTTCACTTTTCTAAACATTATTTGCTTCTGATGATGTGACCGATTTACTTACTGTAGGTCTTTGGAGACGATTTTAGACAAGGACGTTAAACTATCCGAAAGATTCGTCAAGCTTTAACCAGTATTGGGAAGATGTGATTCATAACGTGAGTGCCATCCGTCAAAGTTAAGTGATGGTTACATCATCGTTCATTTGTTAAGGTTGATTGCGACCTTTTCTGTTATCGTGGTTTTTTAAAGACTTTAAAGTCTTAAATTTCATTTGGAAGACGCAAATACAAGATCCTGTGATTTGCTGTAATTCTGCAGTTGATATTAGTTTGTGATGAGAATTAGTTTTAGACTAACCAATTTTACATGAATCACTTAGGCGAACAAACTGATATTTTTCGGGATAACTTTTAAATGTATACTAAATGCGCTTTTCATCAGAAACTTCTCAGATGATTAGTTAAACACTTAAATAGTATTTTGAGTGATCTTTTCAAAAGTTCACAGTAAGTACTACAACTAACTACAATGTGTGCTTGCAACAAATCCTTTGATAGTACTGTCAGTGTACCAGTTATCATATATGATGATTTTTCTGTTTAGGTTATCCTATTGTCGATGATCCTTTATACAATTCAACTGATTGGGGTCAATTGAAAGGAAAAGGTGCTGAATATGGAATGACTGTTGAAGAAGTTATTGAAAAGTTAGGCAACTCACTTAATCGAGAGAAATATATTACTCAACAGGTAAAGTTTAATTCGATGTAAGATGCAAAAGTTTTTTGTTATTTAGTTTTAATATTCATTAAGGGATGTGTCTAAATTGCTAATACCTTTCTGTTGACTAAGAAACGGCGTATTCACACCTGCGCTTTCGAGACTGTCAAATAGTTTGTAATTCCTCAATGAGAAAATGGACATACATCACGATTAAAGTGGAGGTTATTGGTTTCATTGGATTTGATATTCGAAATGATAGTCTAAACATTTTTGTGCAAATATTTTGTCGCTCTATGATCAGAAGAATAATTGTGAACAAAAGCTTGCTAGTTGGTAGACTGAACTGAGTACCTACGCTCTTTGTGTTTGGCATTGAGAAACTGTCTTTATTAACATAATCTGGTAATATTACTGAATGATCCAGATTGCCACATTTCATAATCAGCACATCGCGAAAATAGGTTGCAAAATAAAAGACAAGAAAACAAGAGGTGTTATCAGAATTTGTTGAAAAACAAAAAATCAAAGAAGAGAAGTACAAAATGGTTCAGATTCCTTTCGAGATGAAATGAATTAGTGGTTAAAGACACTGAAAATCGGTCATAATGGCGCAGATGTATTCACTCCTCGACGTCTTCCAAAGCTTGAATATTTACACTAACCTTCATCTTAAGATTGTTTATTCTCTCACATTACTTTATCTACTTTGATACCACTCCTTTTCTATCCACCGGCTGTTTGCATACTTCTGTGAAGTGTGGCATCTTGAGCCGATGCGATGGTGTGCGAGGTTCTACGTTGATCTTGTTAGTCACTCAGTAGCAATGTTGTTCAAGGAAGCATACAAGCAGGAACATAACCAATGAAGTTTATTTTTCCAATTTTGTTTTTAGGATGAGCAGCTGCTTCTAAAAGAAGCGGAAAAATCCAACAAAATCGTTACCAGTTTACAGGCATATTTCGAGCTTTATATGCTCTAATGCATCACATAGATTAGATGCAGTAGTAGGTGCACACTCAGTAAGACTACTTCGCATTTTACGGTATCACTCTTAGCGTTTCAAATCTTGCCAAAAAGCGCTCGATAAACAAGATTGTATAGCAGCAGAAATAGAACTCCTTCAAGCTGTATTTCTGCACAAGATTTATAAAAGCTTGATACATTTGTTGAAAGCTAATCGATGGTTCTAGGGTAAATTGGTTACCTTCAACATGGTCTGTGTAGTGTGACATGTAACTAAGCAACAAACTTATGATTTTGAAGAGATAAGTTCTAGTTAGCTTCTTAGGTCTTTGACTCTTCATCATTGATGTCATCGTATGCAAGTAAATGCTCTTTTGAAATAGGAATTGATAAGCACATTCGGAACTATTGTCAGTTTGTCATTTATAACCGAATGGTCCGATCTCGAAGTGCTTGGTTGGTCGTGAAACTTTAGAACTTAACGATTGTAATTTATTTTATTTTTTCTTGAGTATTTGAACTGTCATATCTATTCATGATGTCGTGTCGCTGTTAACAATGATTCATTTTTATCTTTAGACGGATGGGATGCTGAAAAACTCTCTGGATCCCGAAGTATCCGCTCGGCTTCAATCCTGTGTAGACCCTACATGCTCTGATTGCAAATTGACTTTCAAAGATCCAACCATGAACCATCTGATATTAAGACTGCATGCGTATCGTTATAGCGGACCAGATTGGTGCTACTCTGCGCCTTTACCAAGTTGGGCTAAAGATGAAAACGTTTTAGATTTGGATAATCTGATCGAAGAAGCCGTAAAAAAGTTATGAACAGTTACCTGTATCAACTTTCTTCAGAAATGTACAGTTCTCGTTCCCGTGTATAGGTTTAAAGCGCTTACAAGTTTACTTTTCTCCAGGCATTTTTACTTACTGTGTGTTCACTGGTTGCATAAATTGTATTTTTAAGTACTTCACGATCATACTGTTAATACTGCTTCCATTTTTTCCTTATATGTATAACTCTTAGTCGCTTGTAGTTTCTTTTCTACATTTTATTTATTTCATTTGCCAGAAAAGTTATACAAATATTTTGGAGCTAAGCTTTCGTTTCGTTTCTGACAGTTGTTTCCATTTCTAAAGATTTAAACATAAGGAAGTTGAATAAGCGCTTAATTTGCCTCATATCGTAATCATGCTCGGAAAGAGTAGTGAATAAATCTGATCTATCTTTGTAAAACTGTAGTGCTAATGCATTCATTGTTGTTTGTGTAACTGAATTCACAATATTCCTAAAATCAGCTCTTTATGGTATTGTTCCCGCTAAAATAGTCTCCTGAAGATGAGATTGCTGCAAAATAACAGTAGTAAGTGTTAAAAAGTCCACAAATACATTCAGTATTTTAATTCGCTGTGTAAATATGTTGTTAAGGTCAAGAAAATAACTATAACGGAACGCTTGAAGAAGCACCTCCGAGTATTTCGTGAAACATCTCTCAATTTTTATCCGGTTCGATAACAACTTTTCACCATCTGGCTATTGCATTGAGTTTTAAAGTAGCATCTGGAGTTTTTCAACCGGATACTTTTTGTCAATAACTGCCTTGTCCCAAATTGTATGAAACTCACGCCTTAGATTCCACTGTTAGATATGAAATAGACTACAACTGTCTTGTAAGTTGAAAACGAATTTTAGCAGTGTGTAACTTTGAGCATAGCCATAGTTTGGCACCCTGAAAATATTACTGTTCATGAATTGATTGGTTTTGATGCTAACGCAACTCCTAGTTTTATTGAAAATCCTGGTTTAGGATTTTTAATTCAATTTCAGTTGATTTATTGGATGTATCATACAGTGAAAGTATTATTTATTGGGCACAACTCATTGTCCATAGTGTTCATAATGTACAATGAATGTGCAGTCATGTATGTAGGTTAGTTTCCTTATCAGAACTGAGTTCAGAATGATAGACCCTACCAAGATAAGTAATTCTGAGATGAATCGAGCCACTGTTATGCATGCATTGACGGAATATGGTTTGAGAGAGTAACAATTCTATGAACTTATGTATTTGGGAGTTGATGTCTGAATCTTTATTCATTCAACCAAAATCTAATACGTGCGCTAAGAATAATTCAGCACCAATCCTAGATAAAACGAAAACTCTACTACCATTAAAATCGGAGAAGGAAAAGTAGTAGAGGTGTAGTAAGGAAGTTGATATGATTACGAGTAAAAAACTTCCGGAACGTTATCCAGTAAGAAATAATACTGCCATACCAAATAAACTACTTTTATTATGTTTGTAAAATACGATTACGAACTTTTATCCGAAATTAGAATAATCAGAGCTCGCAGTAATGTAGTTACTCAGAGAACTGGAATAGTTGTGGCAGTATTTGTATTCTCAAAATTTAAGCAGTAAGATGAGCGGCTCTAAGAGCCACCGTAATAGCTGAAATGACCAATTAATTTTTTTTTATCTTGTTGAATTCTACATTTCTGGCCGAAATAAATTAACCAGATTGCTAGTGTGACCTTTAGAGTAACACTGGAAGCAAATGCATTTATAAGAACATAGTCAGACATTGTGTTCTGTTCCATATCAGATTTCCTTATTTGATTTATAACACTGATACAGTATTATATGCTTGATGACGTTCTGAGCATAAATTATTGCTCATAATCGTACTAATATCACATTACAGTCTTTTTAAAATAACCGTTAGGATTGGGATAACGCACTCATATCACATGAACAAAAATAACTAATGCTACAAGGATGAGAGTGATTCAAAAGCCGCTTTAGCAACTACAGAAAAACCGACCGGGTTTCTTTATTTTAACCACAAAGTTAGCTTTTTCATAAAATAAAGAAACCGATAACTTTGGTAAAAGTCAGTCAGTGCTGCTTGCCTGGACGAATGTGCTTTTCGTCAGGAACTGTAGCATTCGTGATGGGTTGTGGCTACAGCGAGTTATCAGGCATACGACACGTAAATTAGCACCTTTGTGTGATTATATACATTGGATGTGTGCAGAGAATTCACCTAGGCAATACAGCATTTCACGTTGTAAATTAGTGTTATGTATACTTGAGATCCGATGGTTACATGGAACCTGTATCGCCTAACACTGACGAAAATCGTTGATAAATAAGAAACGTTTTTGATAGTCTTTCAGTTTTTATCACTATCTAAGAATCATGCTTTTGCAGAAGAGGGAAACTACCAAAAGTCAGCTAGCAAGACGATTGGTTACGTTGTTCCTGCATCATTGAATTTTAAAATTTGTAGTTCGTATTGTCAGCGTTTCAGTAATTGGATACGTAGTGCCAGCTTTATTCATGTTTACTCTTATTCGTTCAAAAATTCTTCAGGGAATGTCAGCCTCTGGCGTTGTATATGTCGTTATTAATTAAACAGCTGAGAAATTGTAGAAGTTAGATACCAGTACGCTGATCTACTTCTCTTACCATTATCTGAAGTCAAGTAACTTTCAAGACTACATATCAGTATCGTTTCAAGTAAAGTTTGAAAACACTATCATCGAATTGAGGGATTAGTCTTAAACAACTCGTAGTTTTATGTAATTTTAGTCGATCATAAGCATGTTTAGTTGTTTCCTATTTTATATCTTGTGTTGTAAGGGTAATCGTGTGGACAGCTAGATATTTTTCCAATTCAGTATTTCCAAAGTGTGTACTAGTTGGTTTAGATGGGCTGAAGGGGCTGGCAGCTGCACGCATGAGTCTGCAATTATGCCACAAGTGGCTTCCCGGTTACCACCCTGATGCTCAGCTGACTGAGCTATGAGACTAGCTGCTGACCAGGACTTAAGCTTACTTCAATTACCGTGTGTTTTGTACGACTGATATATGAATTCGGGATGCGAAACTTTCACTTCAAATCAGAGGGAATCGGAGAGGGGAGTATGATATTGTTTATCAGTGTGATTATCTAAGGGAGCTGTAGTTTAGCCAGGTGCTCCTTGAAATGAGCTGTGAGATCTAGCTACTGAGGAAGAGACGGTTAACATTTCAAGTGCTTCCATCAAAATTTAGCTGTTATTTGGCCATGAGAATGCCACGTAACAGAGAGAAAGCGGAAAATTTGCCCTCATTTAATAGAAGTGAGGTTACTGAAGACAATAACTGCAGATTGATTCGCTACCTCACAGATCGCTTAGAAAGGACTGAAATTTCCGTGAAAGATTTCACAACAAATTACTGCAAGTCGAACGTTCTTCAAAACTGCTTGTTCATACGTGCAAGTATTAGACTAGCTAAATATCTTTCTAGAATACAGTTGAAATAATCAAGGCCTTCAGAAACATAATAATACCGTTACATTTTGTACATACTTTCGATTGCCGAAAGATCATTTGTCGTTTGATCGCTTATTTTTGTTTTCAAGAGACCAAGCCACGGTATAAAATGAAGTTCCAATTTATTGTTCGAGATTCTACAGTTGTTTCACACACTGACTTTATATCACTACGGGACTTAATCTACCATAGTTAGTTGTGGTTTTTAATGCACATGCATTGCAGAAAAAGCTTTAGAAAATATTAGTGCACAAATAATGTGGAAATGGGAAATCACTATTCAGAATTATTTATGGCAATTAGATGTGACAACCACAGACATAATTTTGATATTCTGCAGCACAAGTAGTATTTGACGAAGTAGGGTCGAAGACTACAAATGTTTCTTCCGTTCAGTGAACCTTGAGCTGAATCCCGAGATAGAAAATATACTTCATTTTTTCCACGCTAAGGTGAAAAGATTAGGATATGGTCTTTTAGTTACTGATCTATATCAAACTTACACCGGACGTATAATGCAAGCAATTCACCGTTATAAATCCCTTAAAATAAGGAGAACGCCTGATAATTTTTCATATCCCACCAACAGAACCTGAAACACCCGTAACCGATGAACAAGAACACAACTAGCGCGGATCAGAAACTATCACTTTGGTAGGTTTATCGAGCGAAACGTGTTACTAAAGCAACACCTACTATTGACCATGTTTTCAAAGTGAACCTCATATATATTTGTACAGCCCTGAGATTATGTTGCAGAACGTAACCATGCATTACGTGAATTGGATACTAGTGGGTGGTATATATAGCTGCTTAATTCTTGGTGCTTAGCATTTATCGTAGCCTATCGACCACATTTTGGAATGTGCCCAATAATCTTCCCTGTAGTGTACTGTATTCTCCTGTTAGGGTGGTGGAGGTAATCTGTAGCATGCCCTAGCTTTCTAACCCAAATGGCTTTAGGGATGAGCCTCTGGTGATGATTCAGTCAGACTCGGCTATCAGCCATGGTTTCCCACAAAAGAAGCCCCCCTGGTCATTCTCGGGAACATCATCTATACAAATTGTCTTTTAATCAGGAAATGCCAGATGACTGATTTCAGTAGAATACGTTTGTTACTAAGCAGCTGAGATGCATTGTTAGCTGGGAAAAAATCAGAGCAGGTGTTCGAATAACTTTATGGCTACTTAGAAACGAGTGATATCAAAGTGTCATCCGTCAGTTTCGTTTCCGGTGAAAGATGAAATGGTTCTCTTGCTTTATTGTTTACTTGATTCATATTTAACTAGATCTTTACGCTTCATTTAAAGACGTGACTGTAAGATGACGAAGATAAGGTAATAGCGACATCGCAATTGACCAATTCACTTTCAGAAGCTTTAAAATCATTTTGAATATTGCTTGATACACAAACGAAGGTAAGTGGAATTATTTTCTCTAAAGTGTGAGAAAATGCATTTGATAAATGTAGTCAATAAGGTATATCCCAAGTCAACATCCTTTGTACTCTTCAACTTACGCAAATTTCTGAAATTCATCATTGTATCAACAGATCACCACCATACCATTCTGTTTATGCTAGCAAGTTTTTTCGGAATTTCTGAGAATGACATTGAAAACTGGTGTATTCCTTCAATGGAGTTTGCTGATGACGACGTGTTGTAAAGAGACTTCAGTCCTAAATTAGCACAGATGAAAAAGCCTAACCGATATATATATATATATATATATATATATATATATATTAACTTGGAGCATGGCTACTTCGATGCTTAACTTTCTTAAATCTCTCTTGTTAAATGTAATACAGTTGACTGACATACAACTGCAAAGTACGTATACCGATACAGTGATTATTTCTACCAAATATTGCATTCTTCAGATTATAGGCAAACTGTTGGAGGAAACCACTGGTGTTCTTAGTAAACCGATATACCAGTGTGACTGACATTATTTCCATGGATAGCTTCTTCTTTTTTGTGCTCTGTTCTCTACCTTCAATTTTCGTTTTCAAAGATCGCAGTCCCATAGAATGTCTGTTACAGCTTCGAAGTATTTAGAACCTTTCAAACCAATCAGCGTCAGT